CCCTTTTTGTTTGTTGTGAAAATCCTTTTCGGAAATGTGTAGACTTATCAGTCTACAATCACATAATCCCTCTGATTACACCAAACCTGTAAACTGGTTTGATAATTAACAAGAAACCACTGACTACTCACTGGGTTTTTGTGAAGAAGCACACTAAAGAGGATCCACCTATTTACAAAGCTCGGTTAGTTGTGCAGGGTTACAAGCAGATTTATGGATTGGACTATTTCGAGACTTATGCACCAGTTGTGCGAATTGATTCAATCAGGGCTATTCTGTCACTTTCACTGAAGTATGACATGCTTGTTCACCAGATGGATGTGCAAACAGCTTTCTTACATAGTCCGCTTGATGAGGAAGTATATATTGAAGTACCACAAGGATTGGACAGAATTGAGTCTAACAAAATACTATGACTTGATCGAGCTCTGTATGGATTGAAACAAGCACCAAGAGCCTGGAATAACACTCTGAATCGTTTTCTACTCACTCTGGGTTTTAGTCACTCAAATGCAGATGATGGTGTTTATGCTTACTTGGACAAGGATGGAAAGGCTTTTATGACAACTTATGTGGATGATTTTGTGATAGCTGCCAACAATGAGTTGCTGCTCAACAAAATCAAACAGAGCCTGTCTAAATGGTTTGCAATGAAGGATCTAGGTGAGTTGTCTTATTTATTGGGAATTCAAATCCAATGCAATGCTGATACTATAACCATTCACCAAGGAATGTATGTCGACAATATATTGAAGAAATTTAATATGTCAGAATGCAATGCCACTGGTACACCAATGGAGACTAGTTTGAAGCTAATGAAGGAAATGTATGACCAAGGCAATAAGAAACTGCCAATTGTTGATAAACCATTTGCTAGCTTGGTTGGATCCCTACAGTACCTGGTTAACTGTACACACCCAGACATTGCCTTTGCAACAAATGTGTTAGTGAGATACACATCTTGTCCAACTGAGACACATTGGAAAGCTGGTCTGCAAGTATTGAGATATCTGCAAGGCACCAAGGAATGCGGAATTACTCTTAGTAAACCAGAACTGGGCAAAAGCTGTTGAAAATCAAATTTGATTTTTCTTTTTCTGATTTATCTCATTTGTGTGTGCTACATTGTGTTGAAAAATCAAAAAAATATTCCTTTTTTCGGAATTATATTGATTTCTTTTTTATAGTGTGTCGGAACACACTAATTTATGGGTTGACTCAGCTCACTTTCGAACTGCTACGGAACAGCTTATCAAGACTATTTTTTCAAGTATTTTTCTACTCTTTCAAGACTTCTATTTAAACCATCATTTTACAAGAACTCTCTCAAGATTTCTTTGTCTTTGCTTTTCTTTATCTTTTCATTTTTTTTTCTTAATATATACTTCTGTTTGTTTGAAGACCCTCACATAAGTATCTATCATTTTTTCAGCTTATCCTCCTTTTCCTGCAGGGTCAGAAGTTTTGCCTTTGCTGTGCTTAGCTCCTTCTACAGTGTAGACTTCACCCCCTGCTTTTCCAGTATCTCAGCTATCTCCAGTACCCTTTTTGCAGCAAGTTGCCCAATCAGTTTGGTGACATACTCCTTACTTAGGCCACAATTGCCACCTCTTCTCCCATAGATCATTTCCTTAAATGCATTGATATACTGATCCATTAGCATCTCCTGATGCATATTGCCTTCAGCCTCTTCACAGCTACTAGCAGAGCTGGTCTCATCATACTCCTCATTGGTCTGTTCCTCTGTATCCAACAAGTCCATCAGTGGGCAGTCCTCATCATCCATGACAAGGTTATGGCATTCCTCCATAAATTGTTCAACTATCATCTGCTCTTCAAGCAGGGTCTCATCCTCACCATCCATGGCATACTGGTATGTCAGGCTGCCAGACTGCAGTCTGGTGGTCTCCCACATCTGCCCTGCTACCAACACTTTCAGTACCTGCATAGTCTCCTATGCAAGCATGATGCTAAGGGCAAGCTGGTATTGGTGCTTGATAATTAACAGTTGTACAGGTGTTGCTAAATATACTTAGACATTTGTGGCATATCTTTCTTTAATGCTAAAATAAGAAAAAAAGTCTTAGTTGGTACTTGTATGAGCTGCTTACATGTCCTGGCTAAAAGCTAAAGTAAAGGGGCAAATTTTTAATAAAAATTATTAATAAAAAATATGTTGCCCCCTGACGGGATCGAACCGACGACCTTCAGTTTACAAGACTGACGCTCTGCCTCTGAGCTAAAAGGGCGAGTTTTAAATTTTAAAGACTTTTTTCAGCCAATTTATGCTTTTCAGCAAAATCCCAAATTATACATATATAATCCATTTAGTGTCATTTACGGAAAATTTACTTTCTGGAAGTTATTAATTTAATAATTCCTTTATTGAAAGCGTTTTTAAAGTTAGAGTAAGTGATATTTTGCACGTACTCTTTTGTTGACACGAAATATAACCTTACAACGACTTTTAATTACAATATTTGATAATTAATATATTTCGCTTTCTTGATGATACTATATATAATATTCGTAATATTTTTTGTTTGCATAAATGATTTAGCGAAAATAAAGGATAAAACTACAAATTATCGAAACCAATTTTTTTTTACATTTTCTTTTCCTATATCTAGTTTGGCTCATCTTGAGACCGATATTCTTTTTTGTTAGTCAAGTTGAGCGATCTCATTATTTTAGCAAGCCCCGACTCTGGGTGCATATCTTGCGGAGCTGGCTCGCCTATATTAGACGGTCTGTCTGCCATCCAGTCCTTGCCTTGCTTGCCACCAAGCCCGACACGCTCGTGCATCAGAGACTTGCTTTCTGCCGAGCCGCCAATGCCAGAGTTACGATGGATTGGTGCAAAAACAACCGACGGGTTTGCAGGAGAGCCCACAATATCTGTTATGTCCCCTGCCTTTGGCGACCCAACTGACATCCCCATTGTCAATGGCGTCAGCGGACTCTGCGAGTTTAGTGAGCCTGCGCATCTATCTCTATGCGATACTGAGTGCGATCTGTGCAGGATCCGCACGTTAAGCGGATTATCCAGGGGACGCATAGGTTCTCCGCTGCTTCCTTGAGGTGCAGCAGTGTCAAAGCGGCGGGATGTAGCTGCCACAGAGGCAAATGGCCGAGAGGCTGCATCTCGTCTGTTGGCATTATTACGCACTGAGATAGTCGTGGCACGGCGAGGACGCGCTTGCAAGGGCATGGCCTCTGGTGCCTCGGTGAAAGACCTAGGTGCATAGCCCCGATTTGTTGGAAAGACTGTCGGACCAGCTACATGCTTTGAGGTATCAGCGGCAACTGTGGACGAAGAGCTAGCCGATCCACGACGCTGCATAGACATAGGCTCAGCAGTGGTATTAGGAGATGCGCGTATTTTCTGATTAGGATTCTCAGAAAAAGGGTCAGTAAACGGCTGAGTATCAGCAGGCTGGCGACGACTGCTTACACGGCAAAGATCAGATAGGCCTGACTGACTATGATGTAGCTTTTGATGTTTCTGTTGCTGTTGCTCTGCGCTGATAATCTTTTGTTGCACGGGCACCTTGCCAACAGCTCGGCCTAGGCCAGCTGGATTATTGCTGCGAAGGTTGTTGCCTATGCCCGACATGCTTTCGCGTCTTTTGACAGGACCACCGATGCCAGAGCGACTTTCCCGAGTTTCGTTGGCTAAATGTGCCTGGACTTTTGGAGAATATGGCGAAGGCTTGCCTTTGTCTACGGCCGATAAAGACGACTGGCGAACTACTTTGGCAGGAATCGGCTGTTTTTGTGGGTGCTGCATATAAGGGGATGCTGCTGCAAACACATCTTCAGTAGCGCGGCGACCATGGTCAAACTGTGGCGATGGCGATGGCGGCAGTTGAGCAGGGCTTGGATTAGTGTCTGTCATAGTAGCTAGTTGTTTAATAATGTATCGCTGGTGTGAGAGTATGAAGTAAATGTTTTTATGAAAAGAGAGGAAAATTTGGCTAGAGCATAAAATACTTATTTAAAAAGAAACGTTGTATTAAGCAAAAAAAAAAACAATTTTTGTTCAGCAAAAAAATAAACACATGTCACTTCTGTTTAAAAAAGCTCTGCTCACTTGGCCCAGGCCATCTTTTCTTTATCATTTTGCATAATGTGCACAGAAACATTTATATATATAGCCAATAGGATACATTTGGGCAGATTTTTTTCACTGGTCATTTTGTAGGTGAACTGTCAAAGGGTTTTTTATTTGGCAGCTATTTTTTTCACGCCATTTATTAAAGCTTTTATTTTAGAATGTAAATTATACATACATACACTAGTTGATCAAATTCTTTAATAATGATATTGACATTGACCTTGATAACGTTTTGTTTTGTTTTGTTTCCAAGAGCACAGGGCAGCGAGAAAATGTTATTTTCACTGTATCCATGGGGCTTTTTTCTATTTTTGTCTTAAAGGAAAGCAAAACAAGACAAGACAATAATTGTTTCTTTTTAGTTCGTGAATTTAAACCAGGAGAAAACCCGCAACTATAAAAAATCTATTAACTATTTTAATTTTATAAGCAATGTCCCAAAAATACTTTGCTGTGGTAAACTTGTTTTTTTTTTCAAAGGGAAGTAATTTTTATTTTTACAAAAAAAGAGAAAAAAAGATCTAGCTGGCAGATAAATGCAAAAAAAATCAAAGAATTGAGGAGTAAATATGCAGTCACAAAGACATGCGACAACCAGACACAAGAAAAAGAAGGAGAAAATGTAGGGGGTAATAGCTCGTATGAGATTTGCGTGTATGTTTAAATGTATGAGATGCAGATAAAATAAGGGGGTGAAAAGTAGAAAATAAAGAGAAAAAAGGAGCACATGCAAAACACTGTTTGGAGATAAAAAAAAAGCAAGTGTTGCAAAAACATATGCGCAAAAAGTTGGTGTCCACAAAATGCAGATACATGGTTTTTTTTTTTGAGACAGAGGCGAAGAAAGAAGGGCCTATACTGCTATGCTCATCTCGATGTTGCGGTTGGCCCGGATGCCCAGCGCAGAGGCGGTCTTGCGCACGTACCGACGGAGCAGCTTAATCTCAGCCGCCGATGGAATGCCACGGCATATGACATCGCAGGCGGTGATGTCCATGGCACCCATGGGCCGTGCAGCGACAGGACCCGAGATCTGGTCCTTGTTGATGTAGTTGATAAACTCTGACGCATTGACATACAAAGTGCTGTCGACGGACAGGTCCGAGTTTGCGCGCTTGCTCTTGGTGAAAAACATTGCTGGCAAAAAATAAAAAAATAAAAATAATAGGGCCTAAAGAAGACAAACACTTAGCAGGCAGGATACAAATAGCTAGACAAACCAAGACAAACGGTAAAAGAAAGTGCCGACGCACAATATTTTAGAGGCATGAAAAAATATAAACATGGATGGATATGTGTAGGTCTAAATCTAAAGACGAAGCGGGCGCAAGCCTTGATATTTATATCGGCTAAAAACACGGGGCCTTAAAGATATTTTCGCCAGCTTTTTGCTTTTTGCTTGCTTTTTCTTTTTCATTTTTGCACAATGTGACTTGCAAACAGCAAGGCAGGCAGGTTGGCAGAGGCCAGCACTATTGTTTGTTAGTAAGGCTGCTCATCGTTGTTATTTTTTTTTGTTCCTATTACCCCTAACATTTTTTTATTGCTTCATGGGATGTCCTTTTTGGCGAAATCCGTCTGTTTTTGACAAGCTTTTTCTTGCAGCCTTGCGCATATTTTATTATTATTATTATTATTTTTCTAGCGAATGGGAGAAGCCTTGAGACTGCCAACTTGCCCTTTCTTTAGGGGGTGGTCAAGCACACACGCAATTCCGCATCGATCATTCTTTTAGCTTTTTGTTTGAAAATCCCCATTTTTTGACTGCCAGCACACACAAATCCCGGAACGTGCTTTTTTTTTTCCAATGGTACAGCACAAAAATATATTTTTTCTTCTTATCGTGAAGGGGCATTGCTGGCGTCAAAAATCCTTTTAGATTCGGCATTTATCGATGACTGCTAGGCACTACTAACAGATAACCAAGTACAGGTCTTGTCGATCCTTGGCTTTCATTTGCTAGCCTCTCTTGGGCTTTTCTGGGCATGGCGTGCGTAAAGTATGGCTTTTGCTTGGCTTCTTGTATGCTAGCCTTGGACATTGCCAGGTGGGCATGACTGGCATCGCCTATTGGCACACGCGTAAAAGCATTTCGTCTTAGCAAAGTGTGCTTAGCGATGGCAAGCTGATAGCTGATGGCTGATGGCTGATGGCTGATAGCTGATAGCTGCAGCTCGTGGTTTCCCACCATTGCTGAGCCTCTTCAATGGAAAGATCTTTTCGTTCTATGAGGCTTCTTTCTTTTATGTTTTCTTTTCTTGATTGATTGTGCTGTCTGCAAGCACCTCGCAATAGTCTTACTGTTGGCGCCATGCGCTAGTTTCTGGAAATTCTTTTTTTTTCAGTAAACACGAACAATAGGCAACAGAAAAAAATAGTAAGAAAAAGAATAAATATGGACGGCATCGTTAGTGCTTTTTGCACTCACACTTTTATCATTAGCAACAACGACGACAACAACGACAACAACGACGACAACGACAAAAAAGCTGGCGGAAAGTTATTAACGACTTGTTCTGACGTCTGCAAGGATTGCCCCACCATGCTAAACCATCACACAGGTCTGCTAACAGGAAACTGCAATCAACAGGCAACATTATCTAAGCGGCTCGCAATCTGACTCGGCTCGGCACTGTTCTATACAAGCATATACAACTAAATCGTTTTGTGGATCGTCTTTACGCAATATCATTTGACCCTAGAGTATGAACAACATGTGCCTTACATCTCTCATCATCGTCTTGTGTCCGGAATGGCGCGTGGTTCTATGACCAACGCAAAAAAATAAAGAGCGATACAAAAAATGGCCTAGCTTTTGCATAGCGGGTAAACAAACCACCCACTTTGTTAGATTTATGCGTCTCGCGGATGTCCATTACCTCTGACGTCAACATTTGCTTCTTGATGCTGTCTGAGGAGAATAACCACAACATGTCCAAGAGAGAAAAGAAGGACATCTCTTGGTACTTATATTTAAACAGCAAAATATATACGTTCGGGATTCGCGTGTAAAAAGTCCAAAAAATAAAAATAAAACACCTTTTTCTATTCCATTCTATTCTATTCTATTCTATCAATCTATCTCTTAATTTCAAATACTCAAAACCTTAAAGCTCAAAGATATCATGGCTC